AAGTTCCTCCTAATGGTAAATATTTGCCATATAAACATGTGTCACTGATACATAAAAGCATCCAGGACAGATCTAAAAGTAGCCCAAATGGGACTTCACTATAAGCTAAACCAATATATTTTAAGCACATAATATTAATCTCTGATTCATCTGAGGGACAGATTGTAATATGAACTGGGGCTGATTCTGTAATATTCCAAGGTTTTCTATGTGCTGTCACCTGTTTAAAATATGAGTGCAGTGTATTCAATCAAATATTTATTTTTGCCATCTGGGGGGCAGAGGTTTCTCATACTGAGCATTTGGGTTTCTCTCTGCCGGTCTGGTTTTTGTTTTTGCCAGCACATTTCCAAGCAGCCCTACTGGGTCACTAATAAAGGGTCTAAATCTCCCCTCACATTTGCAACTAGCGTCTGAGAGCAAGAGTAAACAGGACCATCTGAAGATTCCTATTTCTTTACATAAATCAAATTCTTTTACAATCCGTCAACATAACACATTAAAATATGCCCGTCTTGCTCGCTCTCTCTGCAGCATTTCCCTGGATTGCCTGCAAGAGGAGGGTAGACCCTCGGGAATTGTTTAGCAGCGATTCACTGGGTCAGTGTATTAGAACAGACTCAAGTCTATCAGCCAGATGGTGACTTCAGAAAAAAATTGACACACCATTTCAAACTGATTTCACGCAAACCCTCCTGAGGGGAGCCAGTGGGAATCCAACAATCAGATCTGCTGTGAATAAATATTACAAAATTGCCAATTACAAAAGGGATGTTTAAAATGTTTGACTGATTTAGAAGCCCATTCGTTTTTGCCTTATACTTCAGTGACGGATCTTTCAATATCAATGACTGATTGCCTGCCTTGTGCCAGTAAAACTTCTGCTTTCAATGCTTTATCACAAGAAGTTACTGTACTCTCATCCAGGGCACTTTATATCAGAGTAAAAGGCAGCCTGAGATAAGAATTAGAGCATCTGATGTTAGACGGATACAATTCAAGGCATGAGATCAGCTACAGATAGAGGAAAAAAATGAGTATTGGGCTTCAGATGGGAATTTGGTCTGAACACTATTTGAAATAATAGAGCTTGAACTATCTTTGGTAAATATAATCAGATGACAGAGATTCACATGGACCTTGGCATTAATGAGGGAGACTGCAACTTCAGTAACTGGCTTTATACCACCATCAAGATTTCTATATGGCTAAAAGCAATATTGTTCTTCGAATCACGGTGTATAGGGCTTGCTTTTCCTTGCTGTTTGGGTGACCCATATGGCTGCATCACTAATTCATCATCTGACAGTACCCAGTAAAAATCCTCTGTCTCCTCCCTTTGGCCTTTTTCACTTTGTAGCATCTTTCTCTGCAGAAAGCTTCCATCCCTCTTCTACCAAATCCTGTAATCCTCCACCCTCTGTTTAGACAGGCTCTTTCCACTTGACTGCAATACCCCATTCATCTGTTCCCTTCAGAGTTTCTGACAGTCACAGTATATATGGCAGCAGCAACCCACACCTGCCTTAGGGTCCACTTTTCCTCCTACACCACTGGTTTGGTGCACCAACCTCAGTTCCTGGTCACTGTAATACTCTTCTCTCCAAATGGTTCCCAATTTTACAAATGCCAATGAACCAATCTTTTCTCATGATCCATACACTACCCAACAGAGGCAAGGCCACAGACCATTTTCACTGTGCACCTTTTCCAATATCATCCTTCCTGCTAGGAGGGCTCTTCCACTTCACAAATGTTAGTATCTTCTTTTTTTGGGGGGGGTGTATATTGAATGTATATAGGGTTATATCATAGATATAACTGTTGTCTATCTATGACTGTTAATAGATTTACGATAGTTTTAGCTTTCACTTGTTCTAAAAGGAGAGAACTGGAGAAACGTATAGAGAGTTTATATAATTATAAAACTCACATATTATAAAAAGAAAAATTAGAAATAAAGTGAAGTTGTTCCAATAATGGGACTTTATTTAAGAATTATATAAACTCGTACACATGTGCAGATACGTTCTAATTGACGTTATGGCATATAAACTTTCTCTTCCTATAACATGACCTGCAGCTCATGGTGTCGTCAAGATAGCGTATTCTGTGTGGTCAAGTACTTCTCACAAATAAATACATTCCTGAATCCAGACCCCAAGGCTTGACTGTTTCAGGTCCAAATCCATCCTTCAGACGGATCTTGTATTAGGGCTGTGTCAGAGTTTCCCAGGGAATATTTGGTGGATTTTTTCAGTAGACTTGGTTTGCCCGAGTCAGAGAAACACGAGGTACGTGAGGCTGCACTGGGTGTTTTATGTTGCCTTTTGTAGGGTCCTTTCTTCTCACCGATGCATCTGCATCTGAAGTCAATCCGAGGCAGCTCCTAAGGAAGAGGGAGCCATAGGGCCTATTTCTCTGCACTTGGGGGGTGTCAACTTATTAAGCATCTGTGTAACACCTGTGATCCTTGTCCAGCTCAGCTCTAAATATCAGCTGTCAGTCAGAGCTCCCGAATGCTGCAAGGCAGCTCCTCGCCAACACGGACCGTCACAATCGGGACCAGCCTGGGGGTCACTGAGGTTCATGAGAATCCCTTGCTACAGCTCTTCTCACCTTCTGAGCCCAGGACGACCTTTCCAAGGGCACTCCTGCACTCTCCCTTTCTCTTATTTTTCTCACAGCCATAACCTGGGAACAGCGTCTCTGACCGCCAGATACCCCCAGCCATGACTCTGCCTCTTCCCAGACAACCTGAAACTTTATCTCCTTGCAATATGCAGAGACCCGTGGGATATTCCCATGCTGCACAATGGCAATGTCATGGTGTGGCAGTGTAGAACAGTGCCGGAGACCTGGGCTTTGGGTTAGTAATCTATCTGGCTTCTGCGGCATCAACGTTAACTTACCCTCCTTTCTGCTCTTTCCCCATTACTGTATCCTAATTGCTTTCACAGGGGGATTCAACAGCCAGTCGCTTCTTGTGATCAATGGCATAATCATGTAGCAAAAATAACTTAGTCCACATAATGTTGTTTTCCTTGCTTAGATTTGAGCTCCATCTCTGAATCAACCCGACTCCCCAAATCTGACCACGTGACCCCCAGATGCCCCCTACCGTCCTTCCCTGGCAGTTAGAGGAAGGATCGGGTGGTGATATCTGAGCTCTCATCAATCTTTCTCAGAGCACCTCCTCACGCCAGCTTTTCAGCAACTTCTCAAGTGCAGGAGCTCTCTCCAGTCTTGCAAGGTCCCTCAAAGGCCATCCCTGTACCCTGCTCAGATCTGGTTGAGCTGCACCTCAGATGATCATGGATTTGCTAATCTGAGAAACTGTCTGCTCGGCTGATGTGAATAAACAGAGTTCTGGGGACGTTACACTGAGTTCCACGGTTGATTATTTCCAGGACTCTCTTGATCCGAGATAGGAAAGGTAATGATAAAGGTCATTTGTGATGTTAAACAAGACACCCAGTCTTTCTTCCCCAACTAAATCAGAGATTCCTGGAAGTATCATTCCCACTGATACGGCTCACGAGACTTTCGCCTCCAAGGACAAACACCTTTCCAAGGATGTTCAGGTCTGGAATTCTTGTTGGGGCAGGGTGTGCTCCTGTTACGTGTTACTGAATATCTTCTCATGATTCCTGTTAATGGCAGGCCGCTTGCTAGTGAGGGACAATAAAGAAAACAGTGTGGTCTTGTACATGGGCCACTGGGCTAATGACCAAAAGATGTGCAATCTGTAACCAGCTTTGCCTCCTACCTGCCAGGTGACCTCTAGACAACTCGCTTCCCCTCCCTGTTCCTCTGTTTACCCTCCCTTCCATTACATGGTCTGTGTTGGGTATGAATTCAGACTGGATTATTGCCATACCCCCTCTTGGCCTTAAAATCTAAATTACATGCATCTGTGCTAAAGGAGTACTACACAGATGTGAAACCCTATTCAAATTTGTATGTGGCAGCATCTGAGATGCAGGTGTCAATGGCAACCCCGGAAGTAAGGCAGCAGGGAACCAGGCCCACCTGTTCCTTTAAGTTTTCATTCTCCTTCCCTCAATGGGTCTCACTACCAGCTTTAGACTGAGCTTGGATGGCGGCCTAGGGCTGCTGCTCAGTTAGAGAATGCACCTATGTATTGCTCATCCCCCACAGACTATAGGTGGGATTTCCAAAACCAGAGAGCCTCACTGGGGCTGCTGTTCCTAAATCACTTAAATACTTTGGAAAGTCCCTCCCCTCATGTCTTAGCATTAAGGGGTTCATCCATCTAATTATTTTCACCCCACAAGGTAGCACCATCATGTACAGATATATCCAAAGAGCCCCCCCAAAAAATAAAAAGGCCCTTGCTTGCAGCAGCTTCCTTCAGTGAAAAAGGTTGAGTGGTTTTTATAGGTGACTCCAAAATTTCACTGTGAATTGTGGCAATCTGCAAACCTTTTCAGTCAGCCACTATAATCTCCTTGCCACCCTCCTTGGTTCTCCGAGGTTTCATTCTCTACCCCCACCCCCATAATAAGATTTATTATTGGGTTATTCTTCATGGTATATTAGCCCTTCGCCAGAGCCAGTGCTGACAGAAATGTTAGTCATTTGGGCTCTGCTTAACCTGCTGAGAAGAACTGAATTTACAGAATGGGACGAGGCTTTTTATGATTTCATTCCAGAGCCAAATCAGATAAGAATAATTATCCTCTCCTGGGATATTAGGCTGCACCTCACCAGGACCGGCAGCTGACAGCTGTTTTATTGGTTGAGTCACTTGGGCCTGGAAATCAAGGATTAATTGTTCATGTGTCTTGGTGGCTCCAGGAATCACAGTGAAAGGATCTTTCTGGAGATTTGAGATAATTTATTTTCAATTGTTTTATATATATAAAACAAGGAATGTTGGCTTTTAATTGATTTTATGCATTTTTCTAATTCTCCCTGTCCATTGAAATCAGGTGTGTGTGTGTGCGTGTGCGCGCGCGCGCGCACGCGCGTGCATGTGTGTGTATATAATTAAAATGTATTTATACATAAACCTGATTTCAATGGACAAGGAGAATGAGAAAAATACATAACATCAGTTAAAACCCAACATCCCTTATTAAAGATTGAGCCACATGTTACAAATTTGGGGCCTCTGAACAAAACCAAAGTAAAGTTAGGAGGGGAAACATTCTCGTTCCAAGAAGAGTCAAAATCCAATTTGTCAAATACATTTTGTTCTCATTGCCATTAAGAATAAACACAAGTGGCGGATTCCTAGCTCCATGCCCAGCCCTTCTCAGTATCTGCCTTCAGATCCTTTTATATGGAATTAATTTACTCCTGCCTACCAGTTTTTTGAGATTATTCTAATGGCAATGGCCCTGATCCAAAGCTTATTAAAATCAATGGCAAGTCTTTCATTGACTTCAATGAGCTTTGGATCAGACTTAACATGAACCAATAGGGCCCATATTCTGTTGCCAGGTTGCAAGATCTGGCCCATATTTCCCTTCTTGGTGCAGACATTGCTGTCACCTAATGGTGGGCTGCTGGTCTGAACCTTTTTTATTTGGGGGCTAACCCGGATTCAAGAGCAGCTTCAGGACACTTGCTTAAGCTTCTTAGGGGGAATAGGTCAGTCTTACTAACAAACCATCATGAAATCCAGCTTCAGGACACTTGCTTAAGCTTCTTAGGGGGAATAGGGCAGTCATGCTGCTCTTGGGGGTCTTACTAACAAACCATCATGAAATCCAGTGTGACCTATAATGGGTGGATCTCCCCCCAATTCAGCTCCTTTGCTGGCTGGGAAGCACAGTATAATGTTGCTATAAATACGGCAAAAAATTAGTTCATTTGAAAAAAGTGAAAGTTTGCTCAGAATGATAGCTCTCCACCCCAACTATCAATTGTGATGAAATGGCAAGACTTTTCCAGCAAAAAAAGTAGCTAGAAACCCAAGAACCTCCAGTCCACTCTCTATAAAAGAACCTGTAACACCAGAATACTGTGCAAAAATAATAAGTGCAGAGATTTAACTCAATGTCAGAGATGTCAAGCCCTTTCCTCCTGCCAGTACTGATCAGTACCAAGACCCACAATACTAGCCAGATCCTCAGGCAGGGTAGATCGTGGATAGCTCCATTTAAAAAGAGGAGAGCTCCACTTAAACACAGCATGTTGATTTTCAGTTGGGAATCCTCATCCTTGCATTCAAATCTATTGCTGTATGTCAGGAAAGGCCACAGGTGTCAATGTACAGCCCAGCTGAGACATGCCTTGCTGGTTCTGTAGGTGCTAGCACTAGAGCTGTATTGGTGCAGCACTACATGTGAGCCAGTAAGCTCTGCTTTGCATTGCCTAGACAGATCCTAAAGTATTCTAGGAAAAGAGAGATCTTGGGCTAAACCTTTCTGTAGATTCACTAAGCTTGCATGTCTCATCCATTCGGCAACTAGCAAAGTCCAGCGTGATGCTGGACTGTTAATTCTCGAGGAACAGTCAGGTAGAAAAAAGTGCTTGTTACTGTTTCAAATAAGTAGTTATCTGACTAGGCGTTCCAGGGCCCACAAGCCACTGAGTTACCGTATACCTGTGAAGAAGTCCCCCTCTGTCTGTCCCTGCTTGGGTCAATCTGTCTACACCCCTCTCTCTTTCACCTGCTTGCTCTTTGGTTTTAACCTGGTCACCTAGGTGACCGGGCTGTATAAATTCCTGATGGGAGGGGAAGCTTGCTCTCTTCCTCCGGCAGCATTTTGGAACAGGACATTCTCTCCCCCTATCAATAAAGGTATTGGGTTGCAGCATGACTGGCTATTTCACTGCATAAGAGGCAAAGAAAAGGGGCCTTTCTGCTCCCCAAAGAGCTTGGCTGTGTATTTTTTCCCTCAGTCATACCTGAGGTTACCCTGGGAGGCTTCAGGCTAAAAGAAGCACACAGAAATATCACCAGTGGGTAAAGCACCCCCAAGGCCTTCAGGGTCTGTGTACCCTGGGCTGCACAGAGCCCTAACAGAAACCAGTGCCTGGATGGTGGCAGCATTACCCCAGGCTTGTGGGAGTTCTCCAGAAAGGGGGACGGTCAGACATAGGCTCCCCAGGAGAGACTCCCAAAGCATGGTTTTGGGCCTGGCACAGAGGTGGATGGCTCTGCATAGTAGCGCCCCCTATTGTGCTGCCGCAATACCATTCTATAGATGTTATAGCAACCTCACTGCATGCCAGCCTTCTATGCAGATGGATCTAATGATACTCCTGTGCACGATAACCCTTCATAGGTCCAGAGACAAATGTAAAATGCACCCATTGGGTCTTTAACTTTTACACAGCAGGTATGTCTACATGTGCATTTATGCTGGCTTAAATTTACTGCACAGTAAATTACTGCATAGTAAGCAGGAACAGGCCGGCATCTACACGTGCAGGCATTAAAGCGTATTAATGCAGTGTGTGGACTGACTTCAGACTCAGTCCACACACACAGTATTACTGCACAGTAAGGTGTCTACACATGCGTTACTGCACAGTAACTAATCAGGCATAAATTTGGTACCTACATGATGCAGGTATCAAATTTACACTCAAGTTGGCATAAATTGTCATATTTATTGTGCAGTACAGGCATGCATGTGTATATGCATGCCTGTACTGTGCAGTAATTTTGGTTACTGCACAGTTAGTGCGTATATGTAGATGCACCCAGTATTAACAATATGAAAAACATATGGATACAGGGAGTTCCAGATAACTCTGCTTTACTAACTCATCAAAACATTCAGTGCTCTGTGGTTCTGGTGGCTTCCACAACAAAAGATGGAGGTTCACTGCAAACCATTTCAAGGGAAAAGTTTTCAACCAGCAATGATCATGCCTCAGTTCAACCTCACAGGCTACAATAGTGCCACTACATGATTCTGAAACACAATAGTGCCCACATAAGCAAAGGTATTGATAATCAGGAGAAACTTCTGTCCCATTCTGTGTCTTGGACAGCCTAACTGGGAAAAGGAAGGAATGTTGAACTTATTTTTGAAAGGCAAAATAACAATCAAAGGTGCCTAGTGATTTCCCATATTAACCTATTATTGTTACCACTGAGGATTACAGACATCATAGAATGGAAACTTGTGTAAATGACACAACAGAGGCTGCCCCTGAGGCCCAGTATCCTACTAACCCTATGGGCAATCCTTTTTCTACGGTATAGAGAAATTGTTTCTAAATATGGTTTTTAAGAAGTCTGGGGCCTCCCCAAGGAGAGATGAGAGTGGTCTTTTATCAATACTTTCACCTTTGCTGGATGCAGCATGAAACAATTTCTTGTTAATGCTACTGCATACCTTCCAAAACAGGTTTTTCAGTTCCATCCAACAACTGAATCTAGGGAACATACAGTGCCATATTGGCCTGACTACATGTTCATTTGGGATCTCCTGTGTGTCAAGGGTAAGTGAATGTTATTGGGAATATTCCTGTGTGAGTGGCTTTGTGTAGTGCAATTTCTCTGCATTTCATCAGCCTGTTAGTTTGCATTAGGTGACTACGACTGTTGTGTGAGCTTCCCTGTGACTTCCTTTGTTGTCAGCTTGAGATGGAGAGGATTATGATTCTGCTGCAACAGTAGATGAAACAACAACATGGAGGATCAGTCGTTGTTGAGCATCATGGTGGCACACACCAGGTTGAAGACTGAATAAACTGAACAGGGCAGAGTGGCCACTAAAACGTCACCTGCATGCAAGACAAAGAAGACCAGCTCTCAGCATACAGGGCAGAGACCTTGGGCATGGCACTTACAGGCAAAGCTCTCACTGAAGCCAATGAGACTCACTTATGCCAGGGCTAAATTTGTCCCCAGGGATATTACCTTGATACTTGCAAGCAGTTAGGTTGCACAGTGCTGATCTGTCAGATGAGCAAGTTTATGAGGATGCAATGGTGTGTCACAAAGGGTTTGAAGGGAATTGATATGTGAGACCTGATAATTATGAGGTTGCCAGGCTGGTATCATTTCACGGCTGGGCTGGCTCTTTGCGGTGTATGATACCCATCAACGCAAAAATGGAAACGATGATAAATGGGGCAACAGTAAAGCGGTTAGATGTATCTCATAGGCTGACTGCATAAGCTCCTTGATTGAGAAACAGCGCCCTTCATCAGCAATGAGAGGAGAATTCATGATTCAGAGAGTGTGACTTGCTATAACTTTCCATGAGTTGAAGAATAATTAGTCAATGAGGATGGTCACCAGACATTTAAAAGAACAGGTTCCCATTGAGCTCTTTTGCATTCTGGGGTCAGTGTCATATGGAAGACTGAAGCAAAGCCCTGGTGTAGTGAGGGCATAGGTGGTTATCCTGAGAAAGTGAGGTGGCAGAGAGAGAGGAAGTGAGTCAAGTTGGGAAGCGAGAGGAAGAAAAGAACCTGGACAAGAGCTGATGCTTGTCCTGCAAAATCTCAAGTGCAGTAGAAAGATTTTAGAGGAAGAAAGGCTTTGCTTTGCACCAACAGAACTATCTAGCATGCTTATGTAGTCCCCACTACTGTAGTATGTGAATGCCTTACAGTGTTTGCCATACGTGCTGCTGTCCCCGTTTTATAAATAGGGAACTGTGGCTGGAAGAGACTAAGTATCTTTCCCAAGGTCCCACCAAAAGTGTGGGGTACAATAGAGACTAGAACCCAGACTGCCTAGTTCCCCAAACACTGGACCGGCCCTCTTCACAGTTTGTGGGTGCAGACTCTGGTAAGGATAAATGCTCATGGATCACCTTAGGACACATCTCATTTTCCTACACATTGGAACTGGTCTACAGTCATCACCATTTGTTTCATGACTAGGCGATGAAAGGGATCCTTGAAAAGCCAGAGAAACAAAACTTTAGTATGAACAAGATGCTCCCAACAGACAAGAAGCTATATCAGAGTTAAAACTGGGATGTCACTAGGGCAGGAAGCAGAAAAGGAAGATGTCACCCACTGTAAGATGTAAGAGGCTGGGATCTGCGATTGGCTGTAGACAGGAAATGTGTTACACTTTGGAAGCAAAATATAGCATTATAGTCCAGGCTCTTCTTGTAAAAGCCCTTTTGGGGGAGATGAGGCTCAGGAAGCTCAATGGACATAAGAAGTATGTGGTGATGAAAGTGCCCGCAAGGAAAGTACTTGGAAAACAAGCATTTTTTCCTTGCTATCCAACCCTTCAGGAGGAAGGAAAGTAGAGGTTTGAAGGTTGAATAGACCACAGTGTGATTTATTTGCAAAAGGTGCTGCCCTCATCACGCATGAGATGTCCAGGAAATAAAGGCACTAAAACATCAATTAACAATGAGATTCTACTGATAACTAAGCAATCACTGCTACCCCCACTGGAAAAACGAGACCTGATTAGGCAGGCACTCAAGGATATCTTTGTAAACTTGCCCATAGCTTGGTTAAAGGGGTTGGCAGAAACCATGACCCTTTGTGCTATCCCGTCTGCTGGCTTTTTGGGTTCAGTACATGAGAAAACATTAAACGTGAGGTGTGGAGGAAGTCCTTTGTCACTCAGGAGATTGAGATTTTGGGGAGTTTCACCTAATAAGCTTGTTCACTCAAGCTGCACATCCAAAAGTTTTGCATGCACTTCCTCGTGGTGAACTTAGGTGTGGTGCCACTGATCATGATAGGGCTTCCAGCTTGGACAGGTGGCAGGGCACATTATAAAATGTAAGATGTATCCAGGCCAGATCTAAACACCCTGCTCCAAAGGGGTGAGGATGTTCTGAACTGAATCTAGACTTCATGGGGGAAGCCATGCCCCTGAGCAGCAGTAGCAAGGTCCCCTTGTTTTCGGTGGAACTGAGAAATTCTCCCACGTCTCGCTGTTTCTGAACATCATGCCAAACTCAAGCACCCCGAACACCGGGCCAAGTCAGGTGCATGTTTAGAGCCAAGCT